ACATGGTGTGTAGGTACCCACATAGGTATCCCACACTTCAGCCAGCCTTGTGTGGCCCTGGGCAGCTGGGAGCCATGCAGACACCCAGGAGGGCCCATGTGCGGATGCTGACACAGGCTTCCCCGCCCCCTTCCTTTCATAACTTGTGATCGCGGAGCCATGAAAGTATGCGAGTCCCTCCCCCGGCGCCGCGCGAGCTCCCCGGCCATATGATCTGGGCTCCATGTCAGTCCCGAGCAGGCAGCTCTGACCTCCCCACCGGCCGGCCCACGACCTGGACACAGCCACGGTGATGACCTTGATGAAAGAGAGTTTCTACGAGGCTCTTCTACCCTCTTCTGAGGTGGCCGAGGCCAATGCGGACGACTCCAGGGAGGAGGAGAAGGCTGCACTGCAGTCTGGGGCGAGGACTGGAATAGCGGAGCTGAGCAAGCAAGGGGCTGGGAGGCTAGTCATGCACAGCATGGCCATGTTCGGCCGGGAGTTCTGCTACGCTGTGGAGGCCGCCTTTGTCATGCCAGTGCTGCTCACTGTAGGGCTGCCCAAGAACCTCTACAGCCTCGTGTGGCTCATCAGCCCTATCCTGGGCTTTATGCTGCAGCCTGTGGTAGGTTCAGCCAGTGATCACTGCACCTCTAGCTGGGGCAAGAGGCGACCTTACATTCTGGGTCTGGGCATCATTATGCTGGTAGGCATGGCTTTGTACCTCAATGGGGACGTGCTGATCTCAGGTGAGTGAGGGGCATGTGCTGTGCTGATAGCCTTTTGAATCAAAGATTTCTGTTAAAAGTGGGCATTGCATTACTCAGCGATGTAGAGGAGCTGAGGGACAGTACGAGCTTTAAACCAGCTGAGTTCTGATATTGCTCATTATGACTGTTCTGTGTTTTGTGCATGTGATGGCTGTGTGCTCTGTGCTGATGTGATTGCCCAGCAGTTCATAAAAGTCAAGCACTGCTTGGGCCCAGAAAGGGTTTTAAGAACTGAAATGTGTCATATTAAAATTAACAATGGATGTTGCTTGTATGGTGCAGTACACATCCAAACTGAATATATATTAGCTCCTATTTAAGATTGTGTTGGCATTTAAAATATATAGTCACAATTATTGCAGCACCAACTTGACTCAGGAATGGGTTGTATTTGTGAATAATAGAAATCAGTAACTTCCTGGAAACTGTTACAATAGGGATGTGCAAAATCAAATACGAGTGAGGGCTCCAGAGGCTGTTTTTGTTCCATTTCAGTTGCAACTTTCTAAAAGTCTTGATGGAAGGTTGTTGTTATTGTGATCTGACAGTGGGGGGAGGAGTGTGTCCTTATAGATTGATTTATCCTCTGTCTTGGGTATCTCTGATGTTGTATATGCTGGTATTTATGTGCCCAAAAAGAGTTGTTTTAGTAAATTTGTATTTATGTAAAACACTGGAAGAATGGGACAAATAACGTAAAATAGAAAAAGATACAAAATGTGATTGAGGCTACTAGAGTATGCAGTGCAAGTGTAAAGGAGGGGGGAAAAAAAAAAGTTAGTGATGCTTTTGATTGTGGAGCTTGCAGTATCCAGAGCCTGTGCCGACCCAAGGCAATAAATCAGCGTAGCACAGCTCAGCCCTGCACTAGCTCAGTGGTGCTGCTGCCTGGGTGCCAGCTGGCACCAGTGGAAACAGCTCTTATGCCACTGCTCTCCCAGAGATAACTGAGAAATTGTTATATTTCGATGTACCAGGAAAGAGGAAATACAGTTTTTTTGCAGAACATGTCACTATTGTGTACAGAAAAGTACTCATGAAGAGGGTGAAAGTTGTCAATTGATGTCCCCATCAAAGTGTATTTATTTGATGTCTGCTCTCATCAGGAAAAAGAGAAGGGTCTGCATTACCATGCCCTCCTTACAGGTACTCAGATCCCTTCTTTGCCTTCCTACCTCTAGAGAGAGGGGAGGGCAGTTGCATGGATTTTATTCTGTGTTTCTAATCTTGAATGAACAGATCATCTGATCCTGCGCTACAGTCACGAGTATTTTGTTACTGGATTTTTCACTACTTCAAAGAACTGCAACTTGTGATTGCTGCTACAGGGCTTCTACAGCAGAAGGCTAAATATTTACAGCAGCAGACCCAAGGTTAAATTACGAGCAATTAATTGATTTGGAAAGCAAAGTAGTGTTTATTCAGCTCGTACTGATTTTTCTTTAAGCGTTCGTTTAGTGAAGCAAAAATTAAGGAATGCAGCTTGCTTCCTTGCCATAGAGGTGAAAAATAAATGTTTTGGCTCAGTATGCAACACACAGCAAGCCGTATGCAAAGCTATATAGTTGGTTTTCCATGTGTCAGCAGTGTTTCAATATATGCTAGCCTCTTGTATAGAGATAGAAGCCCTGTGTAAAATTCGTAGTTTCATAACTTTCACAAAATAACATTGAGAAGCTCAGTCCAGGCTCTTGTTTCATTTGATTGAACTTGCCCATGTTTTAAAATGTTGCAGTTACTTGGTCCAGCACCTTAGGCTCTCTATAGCAAGATCATCTGCACCAAAATGCTTCCTGATGGTTAATTGCTCTGTTCTTAAAATCCTTCAGGGATAGAGATTCTCTCGCCCCCCCCAATGCAATCTATGCCAGCACTTCACTGGCCTTGTTATTAAGACATTTTTTTTAGAAAGACATGTTTTAGAAACTGAGTTATTTCAGCTCCCAGCTTAATTCCTTCTTTTTATACTAAATATCGCCGAGATTTTGCTCTTGAGATTGTCTTCATCATTTTTAAGGTCCAAATGTGAAAACAGATATTTTGCAATTAAGGATTTATGATCAATGAGAAAAGCGGAAGAGATGCTGCACATATCCAGTGTTCAACGCTCAGATTATGCGTTCTAGCATCATGATTACTTTTTGTCAAAACAGTATGTAAAGATGATTTGAAATATAAAACATTCACCACTGTACAAAACATTAGTGTTGTTTTAGTTCAAGAAGCTATTACCAGCTTAGTTGCTTTTCATTAAAACAAGTAAGGATCCAGTCTCTCCAAAACTCAGTGGAACAAGCAAGGATAGAGTCCCTCTAAAATTCAGTGGGATACAGTGAAGAAAGGCCATAGTCAGACCTAAAAGGGAAAGAAATACAGAAATCCCAGAATGAAAGTACAATCACATGGTTATTAGGTCAAGCAATATAGGAGAATAATATTCTCATAGTAATATTCTCTCTTTACCTTTACTCTGACCTTTTTTTTTCATTTCCTGAGATGATGAAAGTAAAGCCATTAAAAGGAAACTCACAATTGTACGTGTTTGTTGTTTTTGTGTTTTTTTTTTTTTTTTCTCTCACCCTTTTTATAGAGGTGAGGTACTTGGATTGTGATGATTACCAAAAGATGTTTTTTATTTTATTTCCTTTTTGAAAATTTCACATGGAGGCAGTATTTCTGTTTGTATTCAGCAGTATAAAATATGTTTTACAAGGTTTAAAATACTGATAGTCCTGATATAATACAAAAATTATATTGTCTGTTTTGTAGTCCTTTATATTCATGGCCCACTAAAAACAAATTGCTGTAGAGTTTTACTTTGTCTTGGGCATTATTTCAGAGAAAAGAAAACCTCAGAGAAATGTTTCTGAATCAGGCTTAGAGAATATTTGTTAGAAAGGGGGTGGAGAACCATGTTGCTATATGTTCAGCCATTTCACGGAGAGCTTTGTCCACCAGAGCTGGGGAGATTTTTTTAGGATATGTTTGGCAACTGCTCTCACATGTGATTAGCTCAGTGTTGTAATTTGTGGTGGTTGGACTAGATGATCTCTAGAGGTCCCTTCCAACCTTAACAATTCTATGATGCTATGATTTCTTGTGATTCTTCCCACATATACTGATACCTGAAGGGCATTATTCAGTGATGTCTAGAGAAGATTACATGTAGAGCGTATTCTATATCGTTCATTTATTTTCTAAATTCCAGTATGGGGTCCCCCCCCTTTCCTGCTTTCCCTCTGCTGTAGGCTTGGGAGGAGCCCTAGGTTACCTGACAGGGGCTGTGGACTGGAGTAAGACCATACTGGGACATCATTTGGTATCTGAGTTCCAGGTGATGTTGTTCTTTGCAGCCTTAGTTTTCCTGCTCTGCCTCATTCTACACTTGTGTAGTATCCCTGAAGTCCCCCTCAAATATGAAAGCAAAGAGACCAAGTTCTTGTTGGAAGTGGATGAACTCCGTCAGTATAAATCCATAGAGGAAATCAAGAATGGTTACTTAAAATCAGCATGTTCTGAAATAAAAGCTGCACCTAAACCAATGAAATCCTCTAGTCCATCGCACACAGACGTAAGCGCAGAGATGATTTTGTAACCCGTATTTTTTTCAATCTTGGAGACCACTAGTTACCATTTTTTAATTATCTATTACACTTTTTTAAATACCTCTTGATGACTATTTGAAATGCAGCCCTCAAAATCCTCTACTAGGATATAGAGTGAGCCTCTCTTTGGCCTGCTTTCTATTTCATTGTTTATACAGTAGTTTTAACAGAAGGGGCGGAGATTGACTGGTCTTGCAGGCTTTGGACATTTTGTGGGGATGAGGGAGAACCAGGCAGGAGTTTCTGCTCTGTACTGACACAGACCAGAAGCTCCTCATATCCTCCTCATGTGTTTTTCCTCAAGAGGTTATAGTTTGTCCTTTAATCTTTATAGAATTCACAACATGTTGCGAACAAGAACTAGATACCATTAATCTTTGATATAAATCTGTAGCTTCCACTGAAGTTAACAACACCTACATATATAGTATCAGAGCAGGGTACACTTCATATATAAATGCTCCAGTTATGCTGCTGCTCAGCATTCTAGCAAGTATCTATTGGCAACACTAAAACAGTTAAATCCCTATTCAGTTTTACAACAACATTGCCTCCCTTCCAAGGCTTTGGGGTTTTTTTTTAAGCAGTTGTTGTAGCTGCATCTTTGGGAGAACTTCTAGGTGGGAGGAAGAAGTGAGCGCTTGCAAATCAGCACTGGCATTTTATTCATGCTGCATTTTCATGAGATGATGCGTCGATCTAAGGCAGCTAGGATAAGGTGAACCAGTGTGGAAAATATGTGGAGACTGCATTTCTAGAAGAGTATTAGGAGCAAATGATAGTTCTTACTGTTTTGTTGATGATTTCATAGAATCATAGAATGCTTAGGGTTGGAAGGGACCTAGAAATCATCTAGTCCAACCCCCAACCAGAGATCATCTAGTCCAACCCCATTTGCAGTGCTAAGAATCCTGACTGACAGCACTTTCATGGTATCCTAGGTAAGCAAAGGCTAATATACATGTTGGTTCCTATTATAACAATAAATAACAAAAGAGTTGCCTCCTGTTTTAAATTCACATTTGATTTCTTAGCATTATGGATATCTATCCCTATCCATATGGATATCTATCCCTATGGATATCCCTATCTATAAGCTTCAGGAAATCAGCTAAAAAATTACTGGGAAGGTGCAGCACTTGCCCCCTTTTCCTGCCTGGGCCAGCCCTTGCCAGCCCTGTGCACGCTGAGCGTTTGTGGTGTATTGAGAGCAGGGCCTCCGGTATAATGAACCTAAGATGTTTTATTAAGCATCAGATAAAGCTTATATACCGTGCTGTCCTGGATACAATACCTTATTTGCCTACAAGCATGCGAAGCACAGTTACTGAATAGACCAATAATCTAAGGGAGAGCATCAAGACTATCCGATCAGCTTCGTGGTCACGCAGCAGCTGTACAGTTGCTTTTGCTCCTTGTTTGCTGGTAGAATACCTGCACTGCTGTCCTTGAGGTGGTTATCTACTAACAAGGTGTCCCGTACTAATGTCCTTGAAGCGGGCCTCCACAAGCATCCTCATGATTGCCCAAAGGTGCCGAATGTCATAGTGCTGTTTGCCAGCATAGGCTCTAAAATAAAGGAGGGTAAGTAGGAAGAGAGAACAAATGCAGGGAGAACAACGGAAGCAGACTATGGAATGGGATAATCTGTTGCTTTGCAAAAGCTAATCCCACTGAATCGATGACACCTGACCCCCCATGTGGAGCTCTGCTGTCCGCTCTGTTCCAGCTTGTCCCGTTGCCCTCCTTTTCCAGGGGCTTGCTGGACAGCCTGTCAGAGGCTCAGTGCTTTGATCCATCTAAGGTTTCTTTGATGTGTTTGGGCTTGTGTAAATTTTAGACACTGTCACTGCAGAAATGGTCTGTCTCATATAGCACATGTTTTCTGAGTTTATTCATTACTGTAATTGCTTTCTTGAAAAAAAATGGCTTGGTTTCCTGCTTTTCTGTATCTCTTTCTTTTGCTGCAGGCATTAGAGTCCTATTTCTTTTCAATTAAGGCCTGCGCTCTTGCATGCTAATAGTCCCCATAGATATTTAATGGCATTTGACTTGTTACACTAGGGATAGACATCCAAAATGATTCTACTTCTGTTCTTTAATTTAGTGTCAAGTTACTTAGGACCCACTGCAATAATAATAAAGTCATATTGATTCCCATGTGTCCATTTGAAGCATCCTTAGGCCTTGAGTTACAGTGATTTTGTAGAGAAAGTGATTGGGTACTTTGGGCAATAGAAGGGAAAGTCACTTAAATAGAGGCCTGAGTCAGACTTCAGCTCTTTATTTAAAAATACCAGTGTGAGGTCTATATGCATTAAACATTTGCAGTTTTTTCACTTTTGAAAGTACCTGAATAGACAATAGCAATTTCTGGCTGGTTCTCAATTGGTCATTTGTAATTACAATAGTGTCCTCTGTAGTTCCCTGACCCTTTGCTAATACTTTGATGGGAAAGGCTGTTTGAAAGAACTATGAGGAAGAGATGAACAAATTATATATGTCAGATCAAGCAATAGTAATTATCTTGTAAAAAAAGGGGTTTTGTGGTTTTGGTAAATAAAGTTTTTTTTTTTTTTTTTTTTTTTTTTTTTTTTTTTTGTATTGCTATAGTCTAATAGAAAGCTTACATTATTTAAAATGCAGTTAAAAGTGACAGTGATGCCAAGAAAAATTCCAAGGAATTTGGGCAATATGCAGTTCAAGGTAAAAGTCAACATCTTGAAATTTGACATTCCTATGAGGATTAAAAACCTCTCACTGGAGCAAAGTATTTCCCAACCTTTTCCATGGTGATTACTTGTATTGCAGCAGCATAACCTAGTTCAAAGGACAGCAGAACTGTGAAAAGTAGCTAAAACATTGAATATAGGGGAAAAAATCATTAGCTTATACCAAATTTAAGATAAAATTCTGCTTTTCATAACTTTTATGATTCTGCCACATCTAATGACCATATAACTGTCCTTACCATCTCTCCCAACATTGTTGCCTCTGTTGACTAGAGAAAACTGGGAATATTCCATCACTCACAGATAAAACAATTTTTTTTTCTTAAAAGCAAAGTATTATGCAGGAGTTTTAAAGTAGCCAGATCTGTGCGCTGCAAATGTATGTCGAGCATGATGAGCGGTAGGTTAGCTGTCACACAAGTGATATGATGAATGTAACCAGAAAAGAAATAGGTAAAGAGTCTTTGGGTTCAGGGCTGAGACTGAGGAGGAGGGGTGTTGATGGTAAGGTGGGGTGTTGATGATGCTAAGAAATTGTATTTTTCTATAAGTAAAACTCTGTTAAAGATTAGCTGCAATGTTTTGAGTTTGAACTGAGCCCTTTCTCCCCTGGGACGAGCTGCTGAGGTGCTGGGGCTTATGTTCTGGGCACAGGATTTGGGTGGTGCTATGTCTCCTATGCAGTATCAGTCTCTCCTGGCTTGCTGGGGAGTAGATGGTACATAAAGGATCTCATGGTGATGATGCACCAGAAGAGGTGAAGTTTTCTAGGGAGCTTAACACCCAAAGGGGAATGGGAGTGAGGTCTCAGAACCAGACATATTCTTAATTCTTAGGAAATATTTTGTTTTCCACTTTTTTCCTATGGTAGCTTTAAATTTTCAATGGAAAGTTGATTGCCTTGATGAAGATTTTTTTTATTTTTGAAAATCCAATTTTCCACTGAGGTTCTGTTTTGACAGAAAATATTCTCTTGGTACCACAAATACAAGCCATCAGTGGGATTATTATTTAACAGCAGGAAATATTTTTATCATTAGTGATGTACCCCAGCTCTCCCAGTGTCTCTGTTAATCTTTCAGATTACTTTATTAGGCATTAGCTCTGACAAACAGAAAAGATATTGAAGGACTTTCAGTACCCAAACAACCCATTCTAGCGAAAAGAAATAGAAAACTTGGGAAGCTTGGCATTAAAACTACGATGAGATCTTCTCCATTTGCTGTCAGCTATTTTATTAGCCATCAGGGCAGTAATACAGTATTATTGTTAAATAGCTTATCGTTAGCTACTTTTAAATATTTGTCTTTAGACTCAGCCGCGGATGACCCTTAAATCGCTCCTGAAGACGCTTATAAGCATGCCATCCCACTATCGCTACCTGTGCGTGAGCCACCTCTTCGGATGGATGGCTTTCCTGTCCAACATGCTCTTCTTCACAGATTTCATGGGACAGGTAAAAACATAAAGTGCTTTTGCTTTTCTTGTGGCATTTCATCCTCCATAGAAAAAAGGTGAGCACGTGTTATAAACTTGAAGAAATGACAGTGATGTCAGAGTAAGTTATATGTGGAGTGCCCAAACAAGAGTTCTGTGAAATAGCTAGTTGCTTTCAGGCCCCTGTTGCAAGCTAGGCTCTGTTGGCTTTCTGCGTTTGTAAGGGTTTTGTGCCTGTTTCACTGTTCAGAGCGAAGCTCTCGGGGTGACTCCAAACACAGCCCTTCTCTGCTCTGGCTTTGGGCATGGGCAGGTTGGGTGACTGAGGAATCACAGATGTTGCTCAGTCCCCACTTTTGGAGCTGTCCCCCCCAGCACCACTTGCCTGTGCCAGGCACTTCCTACAACAGCCTCGCTGGCCTCGGCCTCTGCAGATCTCTGCACTCATTGAGCTGCTTGGATCTGCAGCCCAAGGCTCCTGTTGCCTTGGTTGATTTGACTGTCCCTGTCATATCTGTTCAAACACTTCCCTGGACGAGTCTCTTCTGCCTTCACAGTACTCAAGCCCTCTCTCTGCCCAGGCAGTGAGATTGTAGGTCTTTTCCCAGTGATGCTCACTTATCACTTATGAGAACCCTTTCCTTCCTCCCTCTCTCCCTCCCTTCCCCAATCCTGTCCCTGCCACTTCCTGCTTTTCTGTGGTTTCCAATATTTCCTTGCCCTTTTTGTTTTCTCTCTAGGTAAGAGGGAGTTTTTGTTTCTTGCACAGAAATTTTAAAGAAAACTTTACTTTAAACTTAACAACAACTTTCAAAAAAACAACTTTAAAGAAAAAAAAGCTTGTTTTCCTGCAAAAGGAACTGAGTAAGAGACTAATTCTCAGAGTGCCTGGGTGGAAAAACAAGTGTGTGGGAGTAAGCCTGAAAGAAAGAAACAAAACATGAACAAAATAAATCAATTTCAGAATAAAAAAAGAAAGAAAGAAAAGAAAAGGAGAGAGAATCTAAGACAAGGAGGTAGGAGTGGAGCCAGGAGGATGGCCCAAGGATGAGACCCTGTGTTGGGGTGCCATGTAGCTCTAGTATGGAGATACTACACATGTGCAGCACATACCTGCCCTCTGTGATCTCTGTGGTCTCTCTCAGATTGTGTACAAGGGCAGTCCCTACGTGCCTCGCAACTCCACCCTTTACCTTGCCTATGAAAGAGGAGTGGAAGTTGGATGCTGGGGGCTGTGCATTAATGCAGTTTCTTCATCACTCTATTCTTGTAAGTACTCAGAAATGCAATCTGGCATTTTTTTCACATTAAATCTTAAATGTTGTGTTATTATTGGTACAAAACCTATCTCTTAATAACTCCTGACCAGACCTCATGATGTGGGTCATTTTGGGAGAAAGGCACTGCTCTATATGGGGCCTGACTGAGCATTGAAAGTCATCCTAAACTTAAATACTCAAGTAAAATGGATGCTGTGAGCATATTCTAAGATGCTGTTTATATAGCAGTCATGTAACTGTAGGTCCTCAGAAGGTCACTCTAATGCTTCTCCCTATCTGCCTTCTTCCCTCACAGAATAACTTTTTCACAATGCAGTAGAATTTCTTGCCAAAAACATGAACTTTGCTCTGTAGACTTGCATGTCAACATGCCAGCCCAGTTCCCCAACTAAATCTTAACATACTTCTTATGCAGGGTTAAAAAATCGTTTGCTACCCAAAAAATTAAATTAGTGACATTTTTGGGGATGAATCGAGTATCTAAAAGAGGCTTGATGGAAATATTTTCTTCTTTGGATCTTAAATGTAGGTATTTGTGTAGCAGCCCCCTCAGCTCAGTGAGGCGATATTGCCAAAAGCTTGTGTTATAAGCAGTCAGGGCAGCCCAGCAAGGGCAGTTCTTACAGGATACCTGTTAACTAATTCTCCTCTGGATTTGCTTAACTCACAATGAGAGTACTCCCAGAGAGGGGAATGTCAGGAAAAAGAATGTCTGCTGCAAGTTTATCCTCACAATAACTTGAAGCAATTTCCAAAAGCTATAAGATTTTTTTCTTCATTGCATCTTACAAAGGGAAGCCTTTTACACTTCTCATCACTGTTTTCCATTCCATTTTGCAGACTTGCAGAAAGCCCTTCTGCCATATATAGGATTAAAGGGACTTTATTTCATTGGATACCTACTTTTTGGATTAGGTACTGGCTTAATTGGCTTGTTTCCCAACTATTCCACCCTGGCTCTATGCTCCCTCTTTGGTGTCATGTCCAGCACACTGTACACAGTGCCATTCCACCTCATTGCAGAGTATCATCAGGAAGAAGAGGTGAGTTCAAGGCCTAAGGAAGGGTAAATTCATATCTGGCAAGGTCTGTTCAATCTGTTTGTGGGGAAAAAATGGATGGAACTGGAGGAAAGATGTTAGTAATAATTACAAACTATTTATGGTGATACAGATGCTATAAGAAAAAAAATTCTGACCGAGACCACTTCAGGACTTTAACATTTTAAGATGGGTTGTAGCTCTATAGTACTTTTTTGCTAAGATTCCATTCCAAATTCTCCAAATTCAGTCATGCATTACAACAAACTATTATTTATCATCACAATTGAAACAAAGGTGATTCCAGTACGTGTTCAGGCAGTGCACAGACAACAGGGCTTCAGATGGGGCTATAAGTGAGGCCATTCTGGGAATCAAATCTAAACCCCTAGTTTGTATACAGCCATGTGAGTACATCTTTGTTTCTAAAAGCAAAAGGATGTACTGGGGCTCAAACTGAGGAACTCTGCCAAACATGGGTTCAGGGAGGCTTAACCTGTTCATATTAGTGTAGACTTGACTTTTGAGTCAAGATAAAACTTTTGAGGGCAAGATAGAAAAAATAGAGAGGAAAATCATGCCTTCATCTGCACATTCATGTACTTATGCATAGAACTACTGGCACATAGGGACACTGGGCAGAGCCCAGCAAAACACTTAAAAAAAAAAAAAAAAAAAAAAACTACTGTATTTTAAATTTTGAAATACCTCAGATGAAATGACATTATTGACCATATTATTCCCAAACAAAAAGTAGGCAAAGTATTTTCGACCAGTGCACATTCTACCAAAACCATGCGCTGGGTTTTAAAATACTGGCCTCTCAATTCCTTTGTGTGCTGCTGCTCCCTAGGATCCAAATTCAGTTTTGTGTACTGGATTTGGAAGACACTAACTGTTTTCTCCAGTACTTCTGACCTTTGTGTGTTAGCATCTCAAATACAATGTAACAAGGTCATGGGAAAAGCAAAACAACTGAGAGCATTCAGATACCAGGAGATAGCTGCTCATCTACCATATAGCACAGAAGCTCTATTACAACACATACAATAGCCTATGCAACAAGAACTATAAATATGTAAACTATCAAATAATTTCACAACAAAATCAGAATAATTCTTTCTTGGAAGAGTTGCTTATGCATAATAAATAAAGCCTGTTGATCTGCTATGATATCCCTGGAATATCATTAGTTGATAATAGATTTCTGTAATGTAGAATCCTAGTCTGGGCACTGCTTTCAAATCATTTTTTTTTCAGCCATGAAACCATTATGTTAAGATGTTAGTAATTAACTGATTTTTGAGCTTTGAAGCATGACTTCAGAGCACAGTGCTCAATGAAAAGCAGATCTGGTCTGTATGTGTGTGCACGACACTTCTTACCCTGCCATCCCCCTGGACTCTCCTTTAAGCACGTGAGAGTTGGAGCTAAAGTATCCTTGAGGGGTATTCTGTGCTGTGAAAAACTCTCTCCTTGTGTCAGAGCTCAAATAGGTTTTTCCTTGACATTTGTGTCTATTTCTTACCATGTTTCTTTTCTTCCCCCAAGAGAAAGGATGGAGAGAAGCAAGGTGGGTGGGAGAAATGGGACAAAAATGGGACAAATTTGAGGGAAGCCTGGAAAGCTCACTGTTGCTTGTAAAGGCTTTAAATGTAACCTCAGGGACTGGCAGAAAAACAAAGATGGGAAATAGAGACCTGTTGTCCTTGCCTTGCTGTTCCTGGGCCTCATGATGGGGGCTGCCCTTAGGCATTGTCTGAGAGCTGCCAGTCAGCGTTCATGTCAGACTGCAGTTTGATTTGTGCTCATTTGCAGAACCCGAAGCTGCAGGATGGAGAGCAACCTGGCACACATGGGCGTGGGAAGGGCATTGACTGAGCCGCCCTCACTTGCATGGTGCAGCTGGCCCAGATCATTCTTGGTGTGGGCCTCGGCCTCCTGGTTAGTGTTGCTGGCAGCACGGTCACGGTGATTTCGGCATCCACCGTGGCACTGATTGGCTGCTGCTTCGTTGCCTTTTGTGTTCGATATGTGGGGTAAGCCACAGGGGAGCGTTTTCTTTCTGGTTCAGGAGCACTGGTGCTGGTGCCATGCTGAGGTTGCTGGCACGTCCTCTTCTTTTACCTCCTTGGAATGGTTGCAATTCCAGAGTGTTTCTTGTCCATAAAGTGAAGGCTCTTGGTAAAGCTGTCAGCCTAATGCATCAAATGGAAAGTTTCTCTATTTTGTCTACTTTATTACCTCCTTCATACTAAGACCAGTGTATTAACATGCTATTGCACATTATGGCTTGTATGCCCATGGTGTCCTGATACCCTACATGAGTAGTCATTGAGATATTTCTCATTTGCAATTTGTGGAAGTTAATAAATGAAGTAATAAATTGAAGAAGTAATAAAAATGGGCAGAGTGAGGATGAAAGCTGTGGCTTATATTATTTTTAAAATATCTTAAAAGTTTGGACCATTCCCTTTAGTAGACAAAAGTTGCAAGAGGATCGAACAAATGTCAAAATCTCTAGTGCTGTGAGGTTATGATTAACAGTTTTATTAAATGGGATCAGTTACCTCCCAGCTGCCATCAGAAGCAAATTTGGGTATGATTGGATTTTAAAAAGATTGAAGGCTACTGCTTCAAAGCATAACCCATTACAGTAAAGTAATTCTTTTACAGTGCATTCTGCTGCTTATGTATAAATTAAATGAAAATACCTGCCAAGCTTGTCATAAAAGTCTGCCTAAAGTCACTCTGCAAATCCCTGTTCAGGTACCTAAACAATCAGGCTACAGGAAGCAGCTACAATTTCTTCATTCTTAAAAAGTCTGGCCATTTGACCTCAATATTTCAGTTAGAAGAATAATCTAGGTCAAAATAAAACCTTTATGAATGTTTGTAAGTCACTCAAATCTTCACACTGGATATCACAGTATATACCTTAATTAATGTACTTTCTCTGTTTTCTCTATATTCCTGCATGTGTCTAGCTTTGAGTGAAATATTTTTTGCTCTCTACAGAATATTGTAAATTAATTCAGTTCTGAAAAGCATTATCATGAATTGTTTTACAGACCTCTAACCAATACAGTAAATGCTAAAGTCAAATTATTTGTATTTAAGTGAATATGGAGCTTCATTCTTGTTGTTATAATATCCCCAGAGCTTCATAGGTCCTGCGTTTGTGAAGGTGAAATTGTGTATTTATGCTGTGCATCTTCCATCCTGAAAATTTTCAAATCCATTTACTATGTTATGTGCTAAGCTGCATGTAGCCATCTGCTAATACAGGATTATTAGTGAACAGAGACAGATTGTTGCCAGATACATTTCCCTCGTTGCACATGTTCAGTCAAGGCTGTTCAATCATCCTCACTGTTGAGTAGCCCTGCATGAATGTACAACAGTACTTATAAATGGTTCATTTGGGCTTGAGGATGTCTCTGCACAGGTGCACCAACTTCATCCTCTTGTTTCGTAGAATCATAGAATCATTAAGGTTGGAAGGGACCTTTAGAGATCATCTAGTCCAACTCCCCTGTTTTTGTGTTTGAAGTGAATGGTGAATCATTTAGTCTCAGGAAAAACAAAAACAACAACAACAACAAAAAAGGTCTCCTTTAGAGTAAACTCTTATAACTCTTATAACAAGGCCATGGAAGGCTCATCTGCCTTTCTATGTTCATGACTGTGCCTCCCTGTATGCCCAGGACAGGGCTCAATGCATGGCAGATGTTGCCTTTCTCCATAGCTCCTTCCTTCCTCCCTCCCTCCCTGTGAAAAGGCCATGGTGCACTTGGCTCTTTTCATTTTGTGGCTCTTCATTAGTCCTTCTCGTTGTATTCCTGGAAGTGAAAAGCTTGCAAAAGCGAGCCCCTATCTGGACGGTGCTCAAAATACATTGTAGAGATGCTGGGATGGCCTGGAGCACAAGGGCCTCAACTGGGATACACAAGCGAACCCAAAAAATGTGGGACAAACGTCTCATTGCCATCATCATTGGGGGGTTGGACTAGATGACCTCTAAAGGTCCCTTCCAACCTTAAGCATTCTATGATCGCTAACTCAGTTACTCGCCTTAACTCAGCAGTATCTCACAAGAGGAGAAATTTTTTAAGGGAACAGTAGGATAACTAAGGATAAAACTCTAATGATAATGTGAGGCCGTGGAAAAGAACCTTGCAATGTTTGCCTATCTCTTTGTCAATGCTTTCTTTAAGGCTTAATGACATCAAAGCATGAAAATTTAGATGGTCTGCACTGTCTGTCTTCTGTTACACACAGAACAAGCTGGCATTGATCCAGACCCGTGGCCTGACTGTAGATCTGTAGCAACGGAACACTAAGTGTGATCATGCAAAGAGAAGGTAGATGTGAGCGTCATTTATCAATAGTTCTGTTTAGAAATCTGTTCAGAGGTGGCCTTTTCAAGGGATCAGGTTATCATCTTTCTCATGATCCTTCCTTTTAAAATTAAATGCACACTATAGTATAAGGAACAAAATAGATTTCCTTTTTCTTTGGAAGAATCCCTATAAAAGCCAGCTATCTTTCTTTCTAAGACTTCAAAATAATATTCAGCCTCATGGGTCCTTCTCAAAAATAGCAGTAGACAAAAAACTAAGCAGAAAATGGAGGGGAAAAAAAAAGGTTAAAAGGTTTAAACAGAAGAATTATGATGGTGCTCATTCTGAGACCATATTTCAGATGTTGATTCCGAGTATATTTCAAATGCCAGTGAAAGCTTTTTAAAATGTTACTTACTTTCTCCCTTCTCAGGAATTTGTATTTCTAACAGCGCTAGAGGCATTGAAGAATTGCACTGTGGTTCTACTGATTAAAAAAATCTGTTTTCTGTACTAAATTAATGAGTTTAGACCTTGGATCAAATTACCAATATGATCAGTTATTGCACTTATCAGCTTTTATTATCAGCTTTTATTAAGATGTTGTGAGTGCCAAAGTTAGGACACTGACTCTAAGCTTTCTCATCTAGTTTTGCTGTAATATACATAGAAAATCAGTGGTGCATTTAGGCAAATGGATAAATTTAGTTGAAAAGAGGAGACATTTTGAGATAATCACAGCTCCCTCCCATTTCAACAGAGCTGGTAACAGCTGAAGGAAACAAAGCAGGAAACAAGTGAGCTGTCTGATCTTCCTGATACTTTCTTTTTTTCTTAGGAATACACATCATTTGTTCCCCTTTAACAAACTGGCCTGTCATACAAGTAGAAGATTCAGGAAATTTTTGTTCTCTTGTTTAAAGTATTTGCAGTGTTGTTAATGTCACAGTTGTTTTTTTCCAATTTTCATTCTGTATCTCTTTCGGCAATCTCATTAGCTTTCTTTGTTTCCTTGAAAACACGCAATTCAAATGGTTTGTGGGAGACACTTCAAGATAAAACTGCATTAGTCAGATGAATCACAAATGTCTCTTGCCTTGGCAGAACTCTCAGTGATAGGATTGGTGCCTGCAAATCATTACGAGTCCCTGCAACAGGTCAAAAGAAAGGGAGAAATTGGTGTAACTAAGAGATGTGCCAGTGACAGCATTGGGTATTTCTAAACCGTAGATGGATTGCTCCATGGAGGAATAGGGTGGAAGCACTAGATGTAAAATTTCCTCAAATATTTTTTTGTCATTATAAAGCTATAAAGATATGTATCTATAAAATAAACTCTTTCCCTCTAAGTTTCCAGCATTCATTTCTCATTTTCTAGCTACTGCTGCAAACACTTGGGGCTGCTTGTCAAGACTATAAATTGTCAAAAACGCTTCTCAATTCTGTGATGCCCTCCACAGCACACTCAGATCCATACATTGTTTGTTTAGTTACAAAAGGTCGCATTGCCATTAAGATCCCTTTTGAAAAGGAGTGTATTAGTTCCCCATGTATTAATTTTTACCTGTGTGTTAGTGATGTTGCCTTTACATCATGCAGAGATATCAAACCATAGTATTGCTTGCATGTCCTGCATGTGCACTTGCAAAGGAGGCAAATAAAAGTACAGTGCTCTCCACTCTTGATTGCCTGAGGAAAGCAGATCCTGCCTGTCACTTTTAAGCAGAGATCTGCTGCCTTTTCTAGAAAACGGATGTTTTTTTTTGAGGCGAGAGGGTGCCTGTTCTTCTAGGGAGAGGGACTGGTGACTCAGCAAGGATGGAGCAATTCCTTCTGCGAAGGCCGGGTGCTTGTTTGCCCCCCGGTGGTCAGTGACATTATCGCACTTCTCCAGAGCCTTAGTAGCCTTTCCTTGCGAGGCTTCCTAACACGAGGACTCTCCTTCCCATCTTCCTTCCAAGTTTCTTTGCAGTGATGCTGAATTGCAGTTCAGTCCCCTTGTCCTGTATCTGAACAACAAATCCGAGTTCGCTTGCAGCAACCTCCGCCCCAGCTACGTGACGCCGATGGTGACACTGATGCTTGCGTGGCCCTCAGAGCCACCGAGGACATGAGTTGTGTCTGACCCTTCAGCCTGAGCGGCAGCCGTGCAGAGTGGATCACGGCCAGAGCTGGGATACAGACCTGCTGTGCAGCTGCCCCTTGTTTGGTCTGCACCGAAGCTTTTGTTGCTTTGGTTCCCTGCAGATCAGG